GAGAATGATGGGGGCGACAAATGTACAAATGTGCTTGACATACCATTAATGGATGGAGGTATGGAGTGTTATAAGAGTTGCACGAGCCCCCAATAAAATTATATATATATATATATATATATATAAAGCCCAAACGTACTGGATTGCTTGAGACTAGAGGACTTCCTGAAACTATAACACAGGTACATTTTAAACCTTACACCTATCCCTTGAGGTCACCTTATAGGTAAATGACAGATTGGTTAAAGAATAAAGTAATCTATGAGCAATGAACTTCTTTAAGACAAATCATGTAAGATGTAGAGATGGTTTTTCCTTTTTTTAGATGATTTTTCTTAAATGATAAAAAAATTTTAAAGTACTGGAAAACAAAGATGAAAAGACTGGGGTGGGGGTGAGTGTAGGGCAATTAGAGTAGTGGAAATTGTCTACTGGCGAGGAATGAGTGGGTGAGCATAGGGTTGGACTGCTAGCTACCAGGCGTGCAGTGGGGTCCCGAGGTGCTGCAGAGGAGAGAGTGGGACGGTCTGCTCCCTGACGATCTCCTGTCTTGGAAACCCTTTGAAACCGCTCTGTCCTGTCCTACAGGGTCACCGAGTCAGAGTCCACTCAGTGGCAGTAGGGCTTTGTGAAACATATATTCGACATTACTGAATCATCTGTAGAAATTGTTAGATGGGGACTTGACTTGCTGTGTAATCTTTCAACTGCTGACTCATAGTGACCCCCTGGGGGTTTCTGAGACTATTAACTGTTTTCGGGAGCAGAAAGCCGAGTCTTTGCCCTGAAGAGTGGCTGATGGTTGTAAACCGCTGACCAACGCACAACCACTACTCCGCCAGGGCTCCTCTTCACTTTATATACAATAGAATATGGTTTTTGTTTTTCTAAGAAAGAATATTTGAAGACATAATGACGAAAACTTCCCAAATTTGATGTAGGTCATGAATACAGACCTCTAAGACTATCAAACCCCATGTCAGAGGCACATTATAATCAAAGTTTTGAAAGTTTGACAGATCCTGAAAGCAGCAAGAAGGAAGCACAGGAGGGAAATCCACCGCTTCTTAAGAAGTGAGGGAAGCAAGCAGGCACATCACACTGAAGTGCTGCCGCAAACATTGCTTTCTGAGTCCCCCCTGAGAAGTCTTGAGCTTTGTAAGATGCAAAGATGTTGGATCAAGTTTAACTGCCTGTGCTGCCCTTTTTCACCTCAAAGAATCGGGAGTGATTGGCAACAGAGGTGGTGCCCACGTTTCCCACTGGTCTCTCAGGCCACCAGGGAAGGAAAGAACGTGCACGCTAGAGAAGGACAGAACAGGGGGGGATGACAGTAAGTATAGAGAATAGAAGCCACGCTGGTCCCAGGCATCCCGAAGGTATAAGAGGCAATTTATAATCAGAGTGCCATTTTTGTTGTTTAAATAATTTCAACTCTTGGAGTGCATAATTTAAAACTATATGCTAATAAAAAGTTTTAAAACCTGAAAAAATGTGTTATGTTGTTAGGTGCCATTGAGTCAGCTGTGACCCATAGCAACTCTAAACAGAACGGAATGAAACACTGCCCGGGCCTGCGCCATCCACAGCTGTTCCGTGCCTGAGGCCATTGATGCAGGCACCGAGTCAGTCCATCTCGATGAGGGCCTGCCGCTTTTCTGCAGCCCTTCCACTTTACCAAGCATGATGTCCTTCTCCAGGGACTGGTCTCTCCTGAAAATGTGTCCCAAGTATGTAAGATGAAGTCTTGCCATCCTTGCCTCTGAGGAGCACTCTGGCCGCACTTCTTCCAATATAGATGTGTTTGTCCTTTTCTCCCTTATTCAGTGTCCAACTTTGACATGCACGTGAGGCAATGGAGAACACCACGGTTTGGGTCAAGCACACCTGAGTCCTCAAAGTAGCATCCTTGTTCTTCATTACTCTGAAGAGGTGTGAGGCAGCAGATATACATAATGCAGCACATCTGATCTCTTGACTGCTGCTTCCTTGAACATTGATACAAAATCCTGAGGTGAACCTTTTCTCCTTTCATCATGTTACCCGTTGGTCCAGTTGAGAGCACTTGGGTCTTCCTTCCACTGGTGTTGTAATCCATCGTGAAGGCCACAATCCTTGATCTTCATCAGCAAGCTCTTTAATTCCTCCTCATTCTCAGCAAGCAAGGTTAGAATGTCATCTACATACCGCAGGTTGTTAATAAACCTTCCTCCGATCCTGATGCTACATTCTTCTTCTTATAAGCCAGCTCCTCTGATGATTTGCTTAGCATGCAGATTTAACCATTGTGGTGAGAGGGCTCAACCCTGTCACACACCTTTCCTGATGTTGAACCATGCAGTGCTCCTCCCTTGTTTTGTTCGCACATGAAGTGTTTTGGAGTTTCCATTCTTCTCAAGGTTATCCACAGTTTACTGTGGTGCATACAGTCAGATGTCTTTGCAGTCAGTGAAACACAAAGATCTTCTGCTGTAAGATCTTCTCTGCTGTAAGCCAAGATCTGCCTCACCTCAGCAATGATATCCTTTGTTTTACGTCCTTTTGTGAATCCAGGGGGAAAAAAAAGTATGCTGAGTAAAATAAGTCAGAAACAGCATGATTTCACATGAAATATTTAGGGTCTAGAATAGGCACAAGCACAGTGGAGTTAGGCACAGGTAAAATATCAACAGCAAAAAGAAACAGTGGGACAGAAACAAAGGGGAATAAAAAATCTGAAGCACCCCTACTTATAGGGTAGGCTACAGTTATTTGCACATAAATTTGATACTGTTAAATTAATGTTATAATTAGGGTTCCGTGGAGTTGGGTTTGGGCTATAAAGTCATAATGAAACACATAAGACAAAAACCATGTATTCTTAAAATCTTGTACCATCCCCAAGACCGGGGGCTTTAGGGTTCCAAAGTAAACGACTTGAGGGAGGAGCTACATGTAATTTCCATTCCCTGCCTAAACATCCATTACATGACTATGTCTTTTGTAAATGCTTAAATATTTGTTTCATGGGCGATTTAGATTGCTTGAGGAGAGCTTGGGGCCCAATAAAAGGGAAAAAAATATTGAACGCAAAGGTGATTTAGCACCTCATTCGTCTTGTTGAGGGAGATGAAATACCCCGACATCACTTTAAGCAGGGACGACATAGCCATTGGTCTCACCTCATCTACACAGGGTCCAGTTTGGGAACCTCTCTTTTGACAGGATTTGCCCTTTACATGTGTTTGGATCTTTTTCATTTTTTATTATAGCCATTTATGCTGTGGCTGCCCCAAAGAATTGTCTGAATGGTGGTTAGGAAGAGCAAAGGGTAGATTCCAGAAGAGAAGAGATTGTTATCCTTTTTCCTTCGCTGGAATGCACGATGATTTTGACTCTGTCTCGTCTTACTCTTTTTCAGAAATTTAATCTCCAAGGTGGAGAGGAGTCCCATCTGCAGTGACACTGCCCAGGACAGAGCGAAGAGCAGACTCCGAGCAGCTCCAGCCAGCAAAGCCAAGGTAGACCGCCAACACAGGCTGCAGGGCTCGGACGCTCTGCCCCACATGACCTCTGCTCATGACCAGGAAGGGACTCGCAGACGACAAGTGACAGAAGGGGTCCTAGGCAGAGTCGTTAGGTTCTAACGGGAGCTGTAATAACCAAATGGGTGGAACTAGCGCCACCAGATAAACCTTTAAAAAGTCCTAGCTGTATATTGTTTGTAACAGATTTTCTATTTTATGTTTTCAGAGTATAGGGATTTTTATTAAATGGTGGGTGTTCTAGGTTAGAGATTTTTTTCCTTTTTTAGTCTCGCATCATTCTTTATTCCTTTTCATATCCCTCTCCTCCCATTTCCCCACCACCACAAGGAATTAATACATATGTATGAGGGAGCTTCAAGAATCTCATGGAAAAACTCCATTATCTTTTAATTCCATTTCCCCACAAACTTTTGAAGCCCCCGCGCATGCATGCATATAGTCATGAGTTACATAACATCTGCTCAATCAACGTCCAACTGCATATGTCTGTAGGCCCTGCCCCACAAACCCTGTTAGAGGGACACTTGGAGGTGCTCACAATCGGTCACAGCAGTAGTACTACTTTGCAATATGCATCGAAATCTTATGTTAAAGATGTGTTAGTGTACGTGGAAGGGTTTCACTTGTTTCACATAGAAAGGTGTACCGTATTGTGTCCCGAGAGAGACCTTTGACTGACATTAGATATAAACTGTACTTCCCATGTCCAAATTCAACTGAAAGACGCACTTAGGAATGGAACTCCTTCATGTTCTGGGGACTGCCTGTAGATAAAATGGTGTTCACACGGCATATGTTCATATCACATAGCATCCCATCACAGATTGAATCAGGGACTTTAAGTGACACACGGCTCTCGCTCTCTCTCTGTAACATTAAAAAAAAAATCTCTTCCAGGTCACAACTATGACTCCAGCATCTAACCCTAAAATTGGTGTTCTCTTGTCTACTCAAAACAACCGCTGCCTCTCAGCCCCTGACTTGGCCGCCGAGAAGCGTCTGCCCTTCAGCTCCCTCTCAGCTCTGGCTTCCCTGCAGAAGCCAGAGCGCTCCATCAGCCCCGAGAGCAACGACAGCATCTCTGAAGAACTAAACCATTTCAAGCCCATCGTGTGCTCCCCATGCACGCCTCCCAAAAGACTCCCTGACGGCCGAGTGCTGAGTCCCCTCATCATCAAATCCACGCCCCGCAACCTCAACAGAAGCCTGCAGAAGCAGACTTCTTATGAGGCCAGTCCATGGATCCTCAAAAAGTGGGAACAGATCTTTCAGGAACGGCAGAGCAAAAAGACCCTTTCAAAAGCCACTCTCACGTCTCTGCCCCCGGAAACAGGGGAAGACTTGCTAGTGTCTGACGTTACCCATTCAAGCAAGGAGAAGCCAGTTCTACCTTTAAATACAAGACTGTCCAGTGGGCAGTTTCTCTCAGAGTACACCGGGCCCACGCCCGCTGACCTGGATTTCTTCCCTTCCGTTAGCCAAGTGAAAGCCGGACAGGGCAGCGATAGTAAAAGGAACACTGCACTTTCATTGGAAGCCTGCTGTTCCCCAGAACTCAAGGGGGGAGCCAGTGGGACTCCTGTGGAGAGGGAGCCGAGTGAGAGGTCAGGCTCAACTCCAGAAGCCAAGCTAGACAGACCCTGTATCAGTATGGCCATGAAAAGCCAAGCCATCCATTCAGCGCTACCCAAAAACAATGTTGTGGTGGGGGGCCTCAAAACAAAGAAACAGCTGAAGGCTTTGAATCATTTGGACCTGCCGAATGGTGTCCTGGTGGACACGCGAGGTGAGGAGCAGCTGCCATGCCTGCGTCGGGGCCGGAAGAGACGCTGTAAGACCAAGCACCTGGAGCAGAATGGCTCCCTTAAGAAACTGCGGCAGACAGGGGGTGAGGTGGGCCTGGCCCCAGCGGACCCAGCGCTGCGAGAGATGGAGCAGAAGCTGCAGCAAGAGGAAGAGGATCGACAGCTGGCTCTGCAGTTGCAGCGCCTGTTTGACAGCGAGCGGCGGACTGTGAGTCGGCGCAAAGGAAGCGTGGACCAGTATCTTTTGCGGTCTAGCAACATGGCTGGGGCTAAGTAGCTCTAACATTGGACGGTGTTACTTACTTTCTCAAGGTCTTTGGACTTGGTCACTGATCCTGAAGAGCTGAGTGTTCTCGCTGGGGGTTCTCTTGTGGCAAAGGGCTGTTTTATAAGGTTCTGGGAGGCTCCAGGGTCGTTGTCATCAATATCCAAGGGAACTGTGTCCCTGCCTCTGCAGCCCAGACCAGAAGCACTCTCCATCCCCAGAGTGGCCCACCCTGAGGGCTCCTAGGCCAATCTGACAGCACCCCATGGACGGCCTCTTTCAGGAGAGCAGTGGCCAGTTAGCCATGGTAGAGGAAAGTGGGGTGCCGTCTCAAATGGATAGCCCTCCCAGCTTCTCTCTCTCTCTGGCTTTGTTTTAAATCAGCCTTGCAGATAAAAACGCAGTCTGTCTCTATGAAGGCAATGGATCAGTGTAGTTCTTGCTCAGATCTGAAATAATCGATGGTTAGGGTCCATCCCGTCACCCCCACCCCCGCCTCCAACCCGACCATGGCACAGATAGCTATAGCCTCCTCACTCAGTTGAGCTGACATGTCAACAAACATTAAGTTACATTCCCTGCTTAAAAATAACATTTGATCAATGGTGTTGTCATTGTTTAATTGGTCTTTCCAAGAGACCTAACATGTAAGTGCTATTAGCCCTGTTTTTTAGACGAAGAAACTGCAGTGCGGGTATCCCCGTTCTCGCAACTACTCAGTGGCATAGCCCAGACTGACTGCTGGGTCTCCTGACAACAAATCCCATGGATTTTCCACACTCAAAAGTTGCCCCTAATGGACTGCTACCCAGGGTCATGCTGGGAGGGCAGTGGTGGGGTGTCTAGGGAAAGCTGGCTGGGCAATGACCATCATAGGCCAGAATCCACAAGCAAAGCATGGAGATGGATGGAAAGTATAAATCTCTCTGGTACAGTTAGTTATCCCTACCCCCTGCAGTCAACAGCTTCCTGTTTTCCTGGGCGCACCAGCCTATTAGTACTCTTCACGTGGCCAAGGCTTATCTGCAGCATTGCTTTAAAATCCCCCAAATTTGGCCAGAAGTCAGGCAAAGAGCTGACCTGTCCTGTGTAAACCAGGCATCTAGCTGGCTGCAGCTGATAAGTTCAGTCCCGTGGGCCTTTGGGCGTTATTTTCCTGAGCAGCTGACACCATGTGTCTTTTGCATCCCTGGTGGTGCTTGGTGCTTCTGCCCGTCTGGGCTCATTGAGAATAAGGATTAAGGTATGATTGTATGGAATCTCAGAGGGACTGGCATTCCTGTGCATGTGTGAACTGTGACTAGAAAGTCATGTGACTGACATTTTAACAAACTCACCAGAGCTTATATATCTCCATATACATTGTCTCCTTTGAGTAGTCCCAGCAGCGGACGACATAGTTTCCCAAATGATGTTGCCCTTGCCAAAACGTTTCTGGAACTGTCCTCAAAGTCTAGAAGCAGACTCCTACAATTTCAGGACTGGAAGGAACCTTCATGGTCATTTTCCCCGACCACCTCCTGTTTCTAACTTAGAAGCTAAGCTTCAGGGCAGTGCTTCACTGACCAAGGTTCCTATAGCGCCTTCTCATGGTTTTTCTCAGGAGATTTGCCCAGGGCAAATTGTCAGCCTTTTGTTGTTACAGGAGAGAGAACTTCTCGTTTGAAATGGGTCATTTATGTGAAGCCTCTGGAAAAGAAGGTGGGTTATATGGAGGGTAGAGATGGGTTGAAATCACAAATGAGGAGCAGCTGTAATGAACCCCCAGTCATTTTCTCGTTCAGCGACGTCCCAGAGATGCCGTAAGCGTGGTGGTCATCGCTGAGATCCGTGGTGAAGACTCCTCGGTGACACTTTGTTAGGAACATCACTCACCCGGATGCATGTGGTCTGCACTCTCGGTGTTGGTCTGTGGGCACACAAATGTGCACTTTAAAAGCATACATCATTCTCTTTGCTTTCTCTTCATCCCACTTGGTTGTAGGTCCTGCCAGCAACACATGCCTCCCAGGGGCTGCTGGAGGGCACCTTAGTAGAAGAGCTGGTCCTGGTTCACAGAGGACAAGGGGGTGACCTTAACAAATAATGCCTAAAAGGAACGCTCCGGTACTGCCATCTCATAGAAACATCTCCCTTTTGATCTCAGTAGATACTATTGAAAGGTTAGTCCTATTGATAGTAGCAAAGACACTCATTTTTCCACTTACCACCTTTTCTAGAGAGCCAATAATTTGAAAAATGCGTCTCAGTTGGAACTGAAGTTCTCAGAAAAGAAAAAGATATTTTTAATAGACAAAGATATATTTTAAATATTTTCCCAAATTAACACTTTAAGAGATTGCATAGTAGTTAGCAACAAGTGTAGCTTCAGGTGCAGATGGAAGAACCACTTCTTGTTGAGCAGATATTCCAAATGCTAGGTCCAGCCTGCCTTTCTTCTGCACCGAATGTGGTGCCCAACGATAGCAGCAGCTGCTGTTTTCCAAGCTTCCGGTGCACAGTGGCCCGTCAGATGTAGGCAGAGCAGTTTAGATGAAGGCAGAAAGAGGCTCGGTCTTTAATCTGCTTGGCTTTGGAGAAGAGAGAAACCACTAAGGTAGTATTTGTATTTTAAGATGCTCCCCATATTTAATAACCAAAAACCTAAACCCGTTTTTCTTTCTTAAAAATGTCTGTCTGGTTGCTGGATTGTGAAGTTGGTCATAAATGGAATTATTGGCATGAGTTTTGGGGGGAGAGTGAGAACGAGAAAACATCCATGCGGGGAGCTTGTGAGCTAGATAGGGACTCTCACACAACACATAGGATTACTCCCAAGTCACTGAAGTCCAGCTCAGCATCCACACCGCCCACATCCTGCTCACTCTGTTCCTTGTGTGTATGCATTCTGTGATATATTTTTGTCTTATTAAAAGGGAGCTTTTGAGACGTGGGAGGGTGGAGGTCTTGCTGATGGAAAGACCAAGAAACGAGGTACCCTGGTGGTGGAGATCCTCGGGAACATGCTCAGGACGCATTGATGACATCCACCACAAGAACTCCTTTGGGCCTGTTGGACTGGTGCCAAAGCAGGATTATGCCTCCATTCCATGGTCCCTTTCATATCATTGCCTCCTTTTCAAAAGAGTTTCATATTCGGCTTAGGCTTGCTGGGAAAACCTTTCATAAATGACTTCATTTATTTTCTTAAAATTTAATTTTTGATTTTTCCTGAAGGAAGCAGTAGTGATGAACGTTTTCTATGTTTGTTGTACTTCACTCTCTGTAAAGGAACAGCGTCGTTAAAGAGAGTAAAACTGCTTAGTTAGTTGCTGTCTGGTTGCAAACTGATGACGAGAACGGGCCTGCCACTGTGCTGGACGATGGAGTTGGTGACCACCTGTGCTGTGCATGCTTTTGTTCCTGCGGTAGACAGTTCCCAGCTTCACACGCTTGTGACAACCTGTGTTGGGCTGTGGAGATGTAAGACGCAAAAAACAGCCCTGTTCTTGAGAATGTATTTCTAGATATGGCTGGAGACTTTGTTATTGCTCTTAAAAATAGGTCAGTCCTTTCAGTGGTGATATCGCTCAGTCCCATTGCAAATACTGCCCAGCACTCAGCACACACACTTTAGAGACCACGTCAGTATTCGTGAACTGGGCTGCAGCAGTGTTTTCCCAGCTCCTACGGGATCTCACCAAAGGAAAATGGATTTTCTCCTCCAGTGCTTACAGGGCAATAACATTTCTTCAGGAGCTGTTCTTAGCCCACACCCAACTAAATGAGGCAGGCTGACATGACTGCTGATGTGGTCAGAGGAGGCCCATACCTCGACTTAGCAACTCCGTGCCCTTCTCAGCCAGATGGCTCATCAGAGCCGGCGGCAACTTGACGTTTCTCTTCTTGTCCTTGCCTGGCTCTTCATTGAGATGGAGGCCCCTTCATCACTGTAGAGTGTTACAGCCAATGCTCATAGGATTCATCCAAGTGAGCTCTCCCCTCTTCTAACCAACGAGGAACATCACCTTTGCTAATGAGAATACCTGAGTTAGAATTAAGATGTACCCCTAGCTCCTACACACATACCCAGGTAGTTTGAATGATAGGGATCTGAAACTTTGGAAAGTAATAGATTTTGGGATCATTAACTACCACGGGTTACAACCCACACCTTCATTGAAAATGAAGAACTGCTCAGCCTTGACCTCATCGGTTCGCAGAATGACTTCTTGAGGCAAGCACAGCGAGGTCTGACTGCTGAGGACTCAAGGAGAACGCGTTTCGTACGCTCTTGGAGGAGGGTGGCCAGAGCAGGAGCTGTCAGCGCCGGGCAGTGGTCTTGAGGATGGTGGGAGCAGGGCAGGGGCTGAAGGGAAAATGCCAAGACTGACTGTGCTCCTTGTCCCATGGACTTGCAGTATTTTTTTTCTTCTTCTGAAGAAGAAAGATCGACTCATGCTGTTTTGTGAATAAAGGCTTTCTTAAATGTCTTTTAAGCAAGGGGCCAAATTTTCCAAACCTTCCTCTTGTGGGAGGCCGCCCCAAACCTGGCAGGCTCCCTCCCTACTTTTTCTGGTGTCTTAAATCAAGATATAGCAAAGCCTAGGTAACGTCTTCCTGTCCTCTCCTTTTGAAAACAGGCAGTGCACCCCTCAAACATCCAGCTCTTAAGAGTTCAAGAGTAGTGGACCCTCTTTGTGGATTAATATAGCAGCAGTCAGATGCTCCCCTTGTTGGCGCCACCCACTCCCCAAGCTGTGCCACCAGTGGGAGCAGACACTCACTAGGTTCCAGTTTATATTAAACGTGTCACCACCAACCCTTAGCCTCCAGGAGCACTTAAATGTTCTATTAAGAATAACTATGCAAGAGAAAGACGGGAAAACTATACTGCCAACTAATGGACCTCCACCCCTTGATTTGCTCTTTACTCACAATTCTTTGTATACATGCTGTTGCCCTTAGGACCTTTTCTCCTCCTGCCTAGAAATAGGAAATGGATTATGTATTGATTTGCTTCATCCTGCTCTCTGCATCCGAATCTGAGAAGGGGCCTGGATCCTGGTGGACTGCCACTGCTGTCTGCCTCATCGCCAACTCATGGAGCGCACTGGACAGAGACAGGGGCCTCGGGACAGGGCCTGCCCCGTCAAGGGACGTCTGCCAACAAACTGCCATGGAGCCACGCGGGGTGACATGTTACTGAAACTACCAAAGTGCATTCTTCAGTGTATGTCTGCCTGCTTGAGGAGAGGCCTAAATTGAGAATACAGTAAAAGTAAACTTGAAAAAAAAATAAATGTTCTGTTTTCAGTTAAAGTCTTGTCTCTGGAGAACAAGTTCAGACAACCTCAGCTAAGCTGAAGACTGTGTGTAACTCGGGGATCCGTTTTGATGCAGTCTTTGCCTGAACCCACAACCACTCCCTGGCATCGAGTCAGCTCGGACTCACCGAGAGCCTAGAGGACAAGGTAGAACTGTGGTAGAACTGCCCCGTGGGTGTC